AACCCTAAACCCTAAACCCTAAACCCAACCCAAAACCAAACCCACGGCGCGCGGCTCTCTCCCCCTTTGGCGATTTTCCGCCCCTTTGGGGCGATTCACATTTTCCGGCCGCCATGGCCACCGGACGGCCGCCGCCCCCCTCCCAAACACTTCCTCTCTCTGAGACGATCTCTTTGGACCCAAACTTCGCCGGAAAAGCTGCTGGGAAACGGAAGATCGACGGTGGCGACTCCCCCTCTGCGGCGCTGTTTTTTCCGGCCACCATAGACGCCGGCGAGACCTCCTATGGCTTGGAAGCTCTTCCTGACGTCCAGACGGTTCCAACGCGACCAGCCTCACCGATTTTGGACGCCGGAATCGCCAGATCGCTCCAGCAACCCGTCACGGCGGCTTTCGGCGGGTCAACGGCAATTCCGGCCACCGTCGGGTCAATTGGGGATGGGAATCTTGTGCAAAACCTTCCTGGACCTTCCACCATCACTTTTGGAGCATCAATTGTGCATATTGATCAGGAGAAACCAAACCCCCAATTTCGGCCACCTAGGGTTTTTACGGGCAAAAATCCTTCAATTCGACAAGCTACAGGCAAAATTGGGAATGGAGACTTGGATATTCGAGTTCCTAACAAGAAGACGGTTCGAACGGCGTTGGTCCCGTCCGATTCTGCTCCGGCCAATTTTCTGGCGACGGTCGCCGGAGCTCCGCCGGCGATGGCGGCGCCGGCCACCGGGAAAGTTCCAGAAAATCCAGCTCCTCCTCCTGACCCCAAAAACCATACTCCTAGCCTCGCTCAAGTGGTTTCAGCTTCCAATCGCATCAAAGTTCCTACGCCTGTTACGGAGCCGTTTCCTGATCGCGAGGTGACAATTCATCGAGGATTGCCCGCTGTTCGTTTCATGCAGTCTGAGGTCAGCCAACTGGAGGTAATCAAGCATTACTTTTCTATTAATTATGTCTTTCGTGGCACTGTTTCTGTTGGATGGCGGGACTCGAAGCATGTTTTTATTATGTGCTCCAACTCCCATGATTGCACCAATCTTTTGCTTGAAGGCACTATTATTTTCAATGGGTTACATCCTATGCGTTTATTTCGATGGACACCTGATTTTGATCCGGAGTATGAGACCTCATTGTCACCTGTTTGGATTTCCTTTTATGGTCTCCCTCTGCACATGTTTAATTTTCATGCGTTGTCCTTGATCTGTAAACCCATTGGAAAATTGCTTGGTGTGGATAGTGTCACTTTAGCTAAGACAAAACCACATGTGGCCCGGATATGTGTTGAAATGGATTTGCTTCAGCCTCGGTCTAAAGAAATTTTTGTGGGTACTTCGGAAGTTGTGGGTGAAGAAGACTGTGGTTTTGTCCAGCCGGTAGTGTATGAGAAAGTTCCCTATTATTGTGACTACTGCTGGCGACAAGGCCATTCTTCGGAGCGATGCAAGCTGAAGGATTTTCCCAAGCCTACCCCTACCCCAACTCCTAACCCAAATACTAAACCCAAACCTCAAAACCCAATTTCTCATCCTAAACCCACCATGGCCCAGCCGAAATCTCAGCCCAAAAATTCCATTCTTCAACCCCAAATGGCCAAGCCCACCTATGTGGCCAAAACCCAAAAACCCCATTCCCAAGACCCACCTTCGGCCCAAGCCCCCACTCCCCAAACCTCCCTTATTTCGGCCCACAACCCAAAACCAATAACCCCAGCCCAAAAACCCGTATCTGGCCCTTTACCCAAAACCCCACATCCTACGGCCCACCTTACTAACCCCAACCCAAACCCCAGCCCAAAACCCGCTAGCCCACCCCAAACCCAAAACCCAATCCCCGTTACCCAACCTAACCCGCGGCCCAATTCCCCACCGATCCTCCAGCCCACACCTCCAACCCCAACCCCTTTGACCCACATCACTTCGGCCCTCACGGCCCAACCCTCTCCTCAGCCCACACCGTCCCCAACCCCAAACCCAATTTCCCTTGGCCCATCTCCAAACCCGATCCAACCCAAGCCCACAACCCTTAACCCGCAATCCCCACCTTTTACCCCGAATCCTATTCCATCTCCTAAATCCAAAAACCCAAGGACCCCACTTTCCAAACCCACTTCTGATTGGCAGGTAAAATCGGGCAAAGGTTCTCGACCTCCCACTTCGGAAGAATTGCAATTGCTAGAGACATCTGACGAGCCTGAGGAGCCTGTTGACGATCTTGAGTTTGATGCCTCCGCCCTCCCCTTTGCTTCTACTGATATTGATTTAGGGAGGAGGAGGGAGAAAACCCCTCGTACTCCTGTGGTCCGCACTCCCATGATTTGCACTTTGAACCGTTCGGCCAACACCATTCCTTCGAATAGGGATTTTGAGCCCTATCCTTCGTACTGTCAGGATCCCGGTCCTTCGTACGAGGATATGCATGAAGTCCGCTATCATTGTGATGGTCGTAGGTACAGTGAGGACTCCGACTTTTCAGACGAGGAGGAGGATGACGTGATCTGGGCTGAGGAGCAGGAAGACATAAGATACAAGTTTGAGCCCAAGTCCAAAGTTGGATACTATGGGAACAATCTTCAGCCTTTTTAGCGGGACTTAGAGGCGGCTGGGTTGTCCCCGCCGCGGAACTACCGAAAGACGCGTTCGAGATACCGTGATTATGAGGAGCGGTTCTTGGGCTGATCCACTGTCCTGCTATCTGGTCCTTTGGCTTTGACAGTCGGCTCTACTTCATTGTATATTTTTTCTGCTGTCTTAGTCATTATTTATTTATTTTACTGCATTTCTTTTCGGTGAGTTGGAGACTTGTTCCTTCCACCAAGACTCTTTTATTTCTACGAATAAAACTGCTTTAAAAAACAAACCCTAAACCCTAAACCCTAAACCCTAAACCCTAAACCCAAAACCCTAAACCCTAAACCCAAAACCCAAAAACCCGGCGCGCCTCCTCTCTCTCTCTAGGCGATTCGGCCTCCTAGAGGCGATTCGCTTTTTCCGGCCGCCATGGCCGGCGATGGGCCGTCGGACACCCACCACTACCTTCCTGACGTCAAGGCGATCCCAACCCACCAAAACATCACCTTCGCCGCTGCCGGAAACTGCCAGAACCAGGGAGCCGCCGTCGCTCAGATCGCGCACTCCAGTCCGGCCACCACGAGCAGCGCCCAGCCTCCACAACCATCCACGAAGGTTCCTGACGTCCTTGCGAGTTCAACGCCACCGGAATCACTGCATTTGGACGTCGGAAACGTCAGATCGCCGGCCATACCCGATCCGCCGTTCACAATCGGGTCTCTCCAATTTCCGGCCATCTCCAGGGAGCCCACGGTTGCGCAGCCCTCTTCCAGCACTTCTGGGGTCCCTACGCACATCCTTGACCCATCAATTGAAGGAATTGAAGCTGGATTGAAAAAGCCCCAAATTTCTGAAACTAGGGTTTTTCCGAACACAAAATCTACAATTCGACGTGTTGAAGGACAAATTGGGCAAAAAGAATCTCATATTCGTGATCCTCATCAAAAAACGGTTCGAATGACGTTGGCTCCGCCCATTTTTGCTCCGGTGGATTTTCCGGCGACGGCGCCGGCGACGGCGGCGGTGCAGACTGCCGGGAAAATTCCAAAACGATCAGCTCAGCCTCCTCTTTTCAAGAAACCAGTTCCAAGCCTTTCCCAAGTGCTTTCAGCTTCCAAGAGAAATTCCCTTCCAACTTTTGTGACGGAGCCGCTTCCCGATCGTGAGGTTACTGTTCATCGAGGCATGCCCGCAGTGAGGTTCAATGAAGCTGAGGTCAGTGATTTAGCTCTCATTGACAAGTACATTTTGGTTGGCAAATTTTCTCACGGGCAACCTAAGTTGGAGGTAATCAAAAACCATTTTGCTACTAATTATGTGTTTCGTGGATCTGTCTCCGTTGGTTGGCGTGATTCAAAGCATGTTTTTATTATGTGTTCCAACTCCCATGATTGCACAAACTTGTTACTTGAAGGCACAATTTTTTTCCCTGGGGACTATCCTATGCGTTTGTTTAGATGGACACCTGATTTTGATCCTGAGGTTGAGACATCACTTGCACCGGCTTGGATTCTTTTTTATGATCTCCCTCTACATATGTTCAATTTTCATGCATTGTCCCTGATTTGTAAGCCCCTGGGAAAATTATTGGGAGTTGATAAAGTTACTTTGGCTCGGGAGAAACCTCATGTAGCTCGTGTCTGCGTTGAGGTTGATCTTCTTCAGCCCTTGCTTAAAGAGATCTTTGTGGGTACTTCTGAAGTTGTGGGTAATGAAGATTGTGGCTTTGTTCAGTCAGTTGTGTATGAAAGGGTTCCTTATTATTGTGAGTACTGCTGGAAGCAAGGCCATTCTCTGGACAGGTGCAAATTCAAAGTTCAAAATCTCCAATCAGAAGTCCAACATCCAAAGGCCCAAAATCCTACACCTAAAACCCAACCCAAGAACCAAAACCCACCCGTTTCACTACTCATAACCCAAGGCCCATTCCCTAAAAAGCTAAAACCCAATCCCCAACCTACTCTAAAGCCCACTAACCCGAAACCCCCACGCTATCAACCTAAGCCCAAAACCCATATCCCAAGCCCAATCCCAACTCCTTCGGCCCACAAGCCTTCTCCCAATCCCACCCCTCTCCCCACCCCCAGCCCATTGCC